GGGGCCTGAGACTGCATTTTGTTCCTTTTCTTTGTCATTTTGTATACCACTATCTTCTGACCTTTGGTGTAGAGCTTAGATAGAGTTATTACCTTAGCACCGGGTCCGGATCTACGAAGTTCAGATTCCTCCAGGTGGGTGTTGCTTGGATCTGGCTGCTGTGCTCCACTTCTTTCTGCCGCAGCCCTTGGAGTTGAACCCTTTGTGTCTCTCTGGAAAGATGTTCTGCTCCTGAATCAGCTGAGTGGGTCTTGCCTCTAGCCTCTTTGCAGGGAGTTCTGCTGAAGGGTTCCATGCTGGGCCTGCCCTCTGGATCTATTCGCAGTGTGTTAATTATTGAAACTGTCCTACAGATTTGATTTGAAACTGTCTCATAGCTCTTTGTTTATCAATAAAATTATGGCAAAAAAAGCTTATAACCTAATAATGTGATGTGGAGATTTTTTGGGAGGTTTCCAGTACAGATTCAGCTGCACTCTTATGTTCATGGCAGTCTGGTACCAGGAGAAACCAGCAATCTTCAGGAGAATTTACAAGCATTTCATATGCTTGGAGAGAGTTTCTGGGGCAGGATGAATAGCTCAAGAAGGACAAAATTTACATTTTACATCAAAGAATAAGAAAGGAAAGATATTAAATTCAAAAGCCATTGAAGGGACAATAAAAACACGGAAAGATGCTCAAAATCCTTGTTATTAGAGAAATACAGTTCACAAGTGCAATGAGATTTTATTTGTACTAGGGTGGAGAAACAGACGACAGCAAGTGTTGGCAAGTGCGTGGCCCTTTATAGCTCGCAGGGTTGGAATATGCAGTGGTGCAGCGGCTTTGGAAAGCAGTCTGGTAGTTTCTCAATTTTTTTTTCTTTGTATTTTAGGGAAGGGTCTACAGGGTGTTCAGGGTCTCGCTACTAGATCGGACTCGTAGTGATCTGCCTGTTTACAGCCTCCCAAGAGCTGGGATTACAGGCACGCACCACCACACCCAGTCTCAATTGCTGTCTCAGGGTGCTCGGGGCGCAGCAGGCACAGCAGGCCTAGAGATTGAACCCCCGGCCCCTGCGCCTGCTTACAGGTGCTTTAATCTGCTAAGCTACTTGGCTGGTCATATCAAAATGTTAAACACAGAGTCACCACAGAACTCAGCAATTCACTTCTAGTCAGAGACCTGAGAACTAAAAGTATCCATGTACACAAAACCATGCACATGAATCTGAGCATGGTGTCTCATGCCTGTAATCTCAGCAGGCATGTGCGAGGCTGGGGTAGGCAGATCACTATGAGCTGAAGGCCAGCCTGAACTATGGAACAAGACT